TTCGTGCTAGTTGGCACTCACTACTACTAGTCAGCAAGGCGACATATCCGCAACCAGTTCATGGGACTCATGGCCCTAACGCTGATGGCTAAACATATTAAGACAAGTAAGACAAGGCTGCCTACTATCGCCAATGATTTTCCTGATTGCAGCAGATTGGATAATGCGACAGACAGCGGGCAATGAGGAAACAGGCATAAAATGGACTCACACAAAAAACTTGGAGGATCTGGACTTCGCCGATGATATATGTCTGATTTCCCACAAACTGGAAGATATGCAAGTGAAAAGCACCAAGTTGGCACAAGAAGCATCAAAGATAGGACTTCAGGCGAACATAGAGAAAACAGAGGTGATGAAGATTCCCGAGCAATGCCACCAACAGCAACAACAACAACAACAGACAATGATCAGCATAAGTGGGAGGAACCTGAAAGAAACAACCTCTTTCACCTACCTGGGAAGCATCGTTTCAACTACAGGTGGACGAAACTGACGAGGATATCAAAGCAAGAATCGGAAAAGCAAGACAAGCTTTCACTACTCTCAAGTTTGTGTAAAGATCAACAACACTCAGCATCAAAAATAAAGTCCGGATTTTCAACTTCACTGTGAAGTCAGAGTTACTATACGGACCAGAGACTTGGCGCATCATAAAGAGCATCACGAAAAGCACTTCGAATAAACTACAGACCTTCATAAACAGTTGTCTTCGCTCAATACTCAAGATCAGATAGCCAGAGAAGATCAGCAACAAAGATCTCTGGTAATGAGTGAACCAACCAGGAACCGATTGTGCAACAAATAGGCAGGAAGAAATGGAGGTGGATTGGCCATACTCTGAGGAAACCAGCAAGTGACATCACTAGACAAGCCATTGCTCGAGTGGAACCCGAAAGGGAAGCGGCGAGTTGGTCGTCAGTGCAAGGGTGACAAGGAGGAGGTCATGTGAAGAGGAGATGAAAACGTGTGGGCAGACATGGAGCCAGGTGAAGACTCTAGCAGAGAACCGAATGCAATGGAGACGCACGGCTGAAGCCCTATGTTCCTCTAGGAATTAAAGGAAACAATAATAATATAATGCAGTGACTAGTTAAAATTTATCCATTACAGTTCTATAGAGGAGGTCCACCACGAAACCGAATCTCTCAATAGTAGCGTTTCTGACTGCAGGTTGCACTGGGTGGTGAAGCGGGTTCAAATTTCAGAAGAGACAGGAGTTTCTCCAAGGTCGAAGAAACGCCTTGCTGACTAGTGAGTGCCAACTAGCACAAAACCTAGGTCGAGCAAGGCATTCTGTCGATTGCTAGAAACTACCGACAGGTAAGAAAAGCAAAATACACACATTATTCTGCGCCATTTTGATTCATTTTAAGCCGTATCATCAACATCATCATAAATCTCCTGTTTTGTTTTAATGATTTTACTTTGAAAATAATCGTAATCACAATTTTGAATACTGTTCAATCATATGTGCAGTAATCATAATAAAAAAAAGAATTACCCTCAAAAATCACATTAACATTAGTGAAAGCATAAACAGAATATTAAAGTGCACAATTATTACAGTGTGTATGTGGCATAATATATATACGTGGAATTCGGGGACAAAAATCAAAAGGCTGAAGTTTGCAGCTTCAACACATACTCAACATGCTTTAATAAACAAAAAAGAAGCAATAAAAAGTTAAATATATATAGAACAAAGATGGAACAGAACTAAATTTTCTAGCTTAATTTTGTGACAATGCCACAAAATTGCCATCGATCGATCTACAGGAACTTCTAAATCAGCCTGAAAATAGTAATTATCTTATGACTCATTCATGTGATCGTATGACTGTAAAATCTCACCTTGGTCTTGGGCAAACTGGCAACCAATCCGAATATTTATTTCTTGCCGACCTACCTAGCCGAATTACCTACCAATCAGAACAAGCTATTTTTACTGCCCTGGGCCGATTTTAATATGGTAAAAAAATATATAAATAAGACGTGTTTTGTTTTCTTAATAAGGGCCGTATCCTAACGATTACAGGCTAGTCTTTGTCTTTCAACATGTACGTGCCTCAGTGAAGTCGCCAAGGTATCACAGACGAATAGATGCATTTATCTGGCACATCAGTTAAATTGTTCATTGCGTCAGTATTATTATACCCGCACGCATCAGTCCACTCGGTCAATATCAGCTGTCAACGAGATCAAATCAATTAGCGACAGGTCCATAACATACTGGATAGCTGTTTCGTTGCCCTAATAAGATGGTACCACTGCATTATAGAGAAAATTTATTTGATAATATCTCACACTCACAGGTGTTATACAGTAATAAATTTACTGATGAGCAATAAACTCTGCTCAAAACGTCATCAGTAAATATTACTGTACAGCACCTGTGAGTGTGAGATATTATCAAATAAATTTCCTCCATGATGGAGATTATACTCTACCACAGTGACCGAGTACTATTCTTATAATAAATGGGACCACTCCATTTTACGTGCGTCGATGGTTCAGCGGTAGAACCCTTGCTCTCCAACCACGCCTCACGTGTTCCGGAGATAGATCATCGCCCAACGCACTCTTAAGCCTTGCTAAGCCGGTGGAAAGAGAAGGTTGGGCATAAGGCTAACAATCCCATCCCGTAAAAATAAACACACACCACAGCTACCAAAACTCCACTGGGGAACGTAGAGGAACACAAAAAATCCTTTTTACAGTTCAGCTACGAGTAACAGTCGTATGACACTATGAAGTGAAAGAAGCTGAAAATTGTGCGCTGTTGGATTCACATTCACTGTAACTGACTTATTCCAACACCACCGCCTAAATAATCATGGGTACTCATTATTGATATGTTTGAAACTATGGCGGATAACTGTTTCAATTCCCATCAGTTCTTTCTCTGTCCTTCTGAAATCAATCGGATCTAAGTTTGAATCAGTTTCTACATGGAGGTAAACATTCGCAGAGGAAGTTGAGAGTGACCACCATTCTCCTAAACCATAAGCTTTAGCTTTTTTTAAAAAAAAATTTTCGATCAATATAATCTTTACTGCAGTTTTATAAGGGAGTGGGGGTGAATGATGCCTATTTTTTTTCGAGAAAAAACTTGTCAAGAAGATGGTGTGGGTGAATTCTTTTCCCTGCAAAGTAATACACTGAGAATAAACACCAATATTCAATGAATTTGAACTATCAAGTATTGGTTTTGTAGGGATTGTTGTTTGATTGCATGGAGGATTTCATCATGAGCTGACATCAGTTAGAGAACCACTGGAAAACCAACCAGGGAGTACTGGACAGCTGTTTCGTCCTAGTTTGGGACTCTTCAGCAGTACACACAAACCACAGCCGGTTCGAACACAGGACCTTCTGGTTACAAGGCGAGCGAACTCGTAGACCATTGAGCCTCTGGGACCCGATCCAATGGCCATTGCATGAATTCTAACTTCTGCCAATTCACGACATAGCGCGGCCATTTCGCAGTGTCTTCTTCGATGAGTTACAGTTACTGGTCGTGAATTGGCAGAAATTAGAATTCAAGGACCATTGGATCGGGTCCCAGTGGCTCAATGGTCTACGAGCTTTCTCTCTCAACCTTGTAACCATAAGGTCCTGGGTTCGAACCCCGGTGGGTGCGTACTGCTGAAGGGTCCCAAACTGGGACGAAACAACTGTCCAGTACTCCCAGGTGGTTTTCCAACAGTTCTCTAACCGATGTCAGCTCATGATGAAATCATATAACCAATTAATTAAGTCCCTATTAATGCAATGCTCACTAGCGACTAGTCCTATTCACGTAGGTAGGTAGTTACATAGTTCTAGTGGGAAAACGTGACCAGTGGGTCGAGTGTGAAGACAAATACTCGCCAGCAATGACATTAGCTAGTGTCAGTCACACTATATCGTGCGTGAATTGGCAGAAGTTGGAATTCATGAACTGACTGGTCATTGGATCGGGTCCCGTTGGCTCAATGGTCTACGAGATCACTAGCCCTGTAACTGGAAGGTCCTGTGTTCAAACCCTGTCGATGGGTGCGTACTGCTGAAGAGCCGGCCACAAAGTAAGCGGACGAAACAGCTAGCTGTCTGGCAGTGCTCCCTAGTGGCCTTCCAATGGTTCTCTAACCAATGTCACCTCATGATGAAATCTTATAACCAATCAGTCAAATCTCTACAAACCAATAAGTGAATTTAAAAATCTGTTAAACTGAGCCTAATTAAACTGTCCAATCCTTTCTTGTTATTCAAGTGTTGGTCTGTAGGGATTTGGTTGATTGGTTACAGGATTTCACCATGAGCTGACATTAGCTAGAGAGCCATTGGAAAACCTGGGAGTACTGGACAGCTGTTTCGTCCTAGTTTGAGGCTCTTCATCGGTACGCACCCATCGACAGTGTTCGAACCCAGGACCTTTTGGTTACATATCTGGCGAGCTCGTAGACTACTAAACCACTGGGACCCGATCCAATGGCCCATGAATTTTAGCTTCTGCCAATTCACGACATAGCGCGAACCCTAGCCAATGTCTTCGGCGAGTATTTGTCATCACACCCGACCTGCTGCACCCTACTGGTCACGTCTTCTCACTAGAACCTCAGGTAACTACCTACCTGAAGAGGGCAAGTCGCTAGTGAGCACCGCATTGATATTCGAGTGTGGGTTTGTAGGGATTTGGTTGATTGGTTGCAGGATTTCATCATGAGCTGACTTTCATTACGAAGTCGCCTTGTAACCAGAAGGTCCTGGGTTCGAATCCCGGTGGGTGAGTACTGATAAAGAGTCCCAAACTAGGGCGAAACAGGTGTCCAGTACTCTCAGGTTTTTCAATGGCTCTCTAACTAATGTCAACTCATGATGAAATCCTGTAACCTTTCTTGTTAGATCCTCACAATGAGTAAGAATGACCTTTCATGCAGGAGAAAAAAAAGAGAAAAACACGTAGGCGCCCAAAAAAAGAAGAAAAGAATATAACCGGTAGATTATTTTTTTTTTACCTTCCAGTTTTAACTGATTGTCATTTTTACGGAATAATGCCGGTGAAACTGGTGCAGACATTGAATCCATAGGAGAATATACATTGGATTTTGTATTTCTGCATACTTGTTCATCTTGTGATTCAACATTATCACCATTATTGTTACTATTATTATTATTACTATTACTATTGTTTTCAGCATTGTATGATTCAGAAATAATATTTGGCGTTTCAACAATAGTAGAGGGATTATTATTATTAACGCCAATTTCAGAGGATTTCATTTCACTAAGACGTAAATCCATCAGTCGTTTTATTTCTTTCCGGCGTATTTCATACTTCATTTCAATACGTCGACGATAATCATTCTCTTCACGATTCAATATACCAAGGAATGTATGCAATTCAGATAAACTGAATGTGGACCACTGAAAAATAAAAAATTTTTTTTAATGGAGGAAAATACAATATAGAAAATCAAAACAAGTGATTCAGTCCGCAAAGAGACTCTTTTCAACGAATTTATCATGCATCTCTGAGAATAGCCTTTACTAGTCGACCATTATTGTTCAATAATCTGAAGGACAAGATCCCGCTGTTGACCAACTTTATGTGTGTTTATCAATTCACCTGCTCGTGTGGAGCTAGGTATATCGGTCGTTCGACACGAGTTTTGTCCAAGAGGGTGCAAGAACACTATCCTGCATGGTTACGAAAAGGTGGAAGTGGAGCTATAAGAAGCGCTATCATTGAACATCTGGTCGATAATGATCACCCTATCTCTATAGCCTCCGCCTTTAAAGTCATCTACAAGGCAAAGAGTAATTTACTCGAATCCCTACGTACCCGACTCATCTGTATTTCTGAAGCTATGGCTATCGAAACAGAAAAGCCAGATCTCTATGTACAGAAAAAGTTCGTTCAACCCCTCCAACTTTCATGGTCTTAATCCCTCTATGCTAAAGTATGGTAATCCCCATTCATATTTTAGCTCTACCAATTTTTCATCTTTGTCTATTCAATTTGTATACTCTTCCTTATTACGTCAATAGATACTATAACTACTCTGACTTTTAATTGTCCCCGGTATTATTTCACTTGTTCCACTTGTCATTCTAAATCAATTCTTCTTTTTACAACATTAAATTCTATGCTATTAAATTTCACACAATATTACGTAACGTTTTTGTTTTATTCGATTTGTCTACTAATCTTATAATCGCACACCTTTTTCAAGTTCTATCCATCCTATGAATTATTCTATGTATGACATTAATTTGCTTTGCCACTTGACATTTAACTACGATTATAATCACAAACATTTAGTTTTAATTGCATTTCATATTATTATTATTATTTTATGCATTCACACCTAAGATTCAATTCACCGGATATAACTTCTTAAAAACCATATATATACGATTGTACAGCTTGATTATAAATTCGTTGAAAAGAGTCTCTTCGCTGAATCATTTGTTTTGATTTTCTGTATGTTACAATGGGAATTTTCCATGATTTAGAAAATACAAGTATAAAAATATATATTTATATATAAGGAGTTATATGAAAATAAATAAAATGAAATCTATATAAACTGTCCTTGCATCTGTACTATACTGAAAACATTTCTGTCTTTTCTTCTACATTTATTCCACACCTGGGGTTTCAGGTTGATGAAGGCGTGCGTATCTTGACTTTCCGATTCCTACCGGCCTTGACATCTTCATCTGTTCCCCCCTGCCTGTAGTTGAAACGATGCTGGCTTCCTAGCCAGATAAGTGAAGGAAGTAACCTCTGACAAATCTCTCCCGTTGATGGTGATTGGTGCTGGTTGTTTTTTCTGTTACTGTTGGTTAGTTATCTTCATCACCAACCTCTATCATCTTTATGTTCACCTTGAGTCCTATCTTCACCGAATGCTCGCGTCTTCTGCCAGTTTGTTGGTTTTCGCCTGCCTGCCTGCAAGTCTTTGAGTCACTGTGACATTAAACATAAATCATCCACGTGCCAAGTCTAGATCTTCTAGAGTCTTCTTATCGGTCAGTACAGCGTATTCCTGTCTTCTCATTCCCTATGCACAATCTGACACATAATCCGGACAACCACAATTAGGAATATCATCGTGGGTGATAACAGGCAGGCAGCTAGCTTGTTTCCCACTGCATTAGGGCTTTGGCTGCCACTGGTGACATCATTATAGCCACTCACTGCCTCCCTCAGTGTTCCTGTGGTTGTCGTCTGGGTGGATGACTGGAATAGATTACTGACTCTTCAGCTGATAATTTTGACAGTCCACATCCACTCCATCTGCTCTCGCAGATTCCCAGTACTTCTGTGTTACAATCTCTCATTTTTTTCACTCTCTGAGCAGCCTTCCCAGCTTTGTGTATTGTACGAACATTCCACTTCCCCATTCTTATTCTTGCTTTCATCGAGAGAAGACACCGGTTGGCTGACTGGCATCCCGAAGGCTTTCACCAGCCCGCTGTGTTATTTCGCCTCTCCGAATACAGGGGAGAATAAGTTTGTGTTTTATAATTTTAATATATTTCTTTTTCGTTGAAGTTTCTGTAACAGTTTGATTGATTTCCTGGGGTAGGATCGCTAGTCCCACGCCCAACCCTACCTCTTTTTCAGGGCTTCAGCCGTCTAGGGAGCTGCTAGAAATCTGACGAACTAGTAGTCTAGTCGTGGTTAATTATCTATGCAGTTAATATATACATAAATGAGGTGTGGTATTTAAAATATTTTCTTTATTTAGCTACACTGCTTACAACCTATTCACTTTCAAGCGGTAATCAATACGCTTAGTTGTTAACAAAGATTTTTTTGATTTTTTTTCCTTCACGTTCCCCAGTGGAACATAGGGCTTCAAGCTAGTGGCTCGAAGTTTCTGTAGCAGTGTTTATTTTACAGGATGGGGTTGCTAGCCTCATGCCCAACCTTCCCTCTTCACCAGCATTATTACTGGTTTAGCGAGGTGAAGGAGTGCGTCGGTGGCCGGGGATCGAACCCCAGACCATGTGTATGGTCGGCGAGCGTCCTAACCGCTAAACCACCGACGCGTTAACAAAGAGCATTACATGTTTTAATTGTTACAACAACTCTAATCTCTCAAGTTGAAATTTTGAAAAAAGAAACTGAACACAAAGAATGAAATGAAAGTAGTACACCGAAAGAGCCCCCCCCCAACCTCTTCTTCAGGCGCGCTATCAGCCAGGACACTAGGTGAAGTTTTAAGAATGAGTTAGCTGGGAATCAAACTCGAACCAACCACCTGATTGGTTGATTGATTGGTGAACATTCAACCATCCAACTACCGATGAACAACACAAATTATTAACGAAATAGTACTAAACAAACGCTTATATTAAAAAGTCTGTGCTGAAGATGTTGTCTAGAATGACGACAAAAGCTTCGTGATTAAAATCAATCAACTCAGAGAAAACAACCACAGCATGCGTCCATTGCTAAAGAGACCTGAACTAGTAGAGGTCCACTGCTCCTCCTCAATGTTCATTTTTTCATCTACGTGTACATGTTTAAGCTCTATAGAGCTGAAAACTAACCACAGGTGGATGAATCAGACATGAAAAGCGGGACTGCCCTTTAAAAGTTCCCCAGCGGGACATAGGGCTTCAAGCTAGAGAGCTTTGAAATTTCAGTAGCAGTGATGGGGTTGCTAGCCTCATGCCCAAATTTTCCCCCTTTATCGGCATTACTATCGACTTAGAAAGGTACACGCATGGCGTCGATTGAGGATCTATCCCTGGACCACATGAGGCATGCTTGGACACCGAGCGTTCTACCGCTGAACCAACAACACACAAAACTAACGTAGGTAACGAATAATATATTGGCAACTAAAAGGAATAACAAATAAATAACTTTTATACATATATATCATACAAAAGTCGTCGTTGCCACAAATGTATAACACAATCGGTCATAAAGCCGGATTTTGTCAGCCACGCCAACTCAGATACCATAATCAAACGAAATCTCGATCTACTGTCAGTCCTAAATCTCCTAGGAGATCAATGAGTCTACTGACGACAACCTGTCAAGTCACAACACCACCAGGTATGCGGAAATATATTGATCTGCAGATAAATGGTCACATACACGACTGCAGCTAGACACCGCCTCTGACATTACTGTTATATCAGAGGAACTTTGGAATGATATCGGCAGACCACCTATCACAAACACTTCGCAGACTGTTGTCAGCGCCTCAAACTAACTGGTAAACTCCAATGCTCTGTGTATTTTCGCAACATCAAATTCACAGGAATTTGTTACGTCACCCAGAGTGATTTAAATCTTTTGGGACTCGACTGGTTCGACCATTTACATCTGGCTGATGTCCCACTTAATTCTGTACGGAATGCAGACAACCCCGGACAAAGCAGAAGCCGCAAACCCAATCAAGCAGACGAAACAACAGACGTCGACAACAAGCTTAACGGTTCCAGATAAAACCTCAAGAAAGCATGCTACTAATCATTAATCTTCTCAAAAGAGGAGGTGATATGTACTCACATGATGTCTGCTTTGTTTTGACAGTCTGGTATATTTTACTGTATGTGTATATTGATCGTATTTCCACTATAATTCACAATATATCTTGTCTATCCATTAACTAAATAAACAATGTATGACCTTTGTCACATGACATTACAACTAATCAGAATCCAGTGGTGGGAAGATAAACTACTTACCATGTGTCTTATTGGTTCATGTGTGTTAGTTATTTTCCTATACACTCTTTCTTGTATTGTACAGTTAATTCACACTCATTCGTACTCTTTAGTACCTTTTTCACTCACACTCTTGTGTGACAGTTAATTTTCCTTGTTGGGAAATACACGTATGCATTCGTGAACGTGGTGGTGGTCTTCTGATTTTCCTCTTCGCGTCAGGACAAATTAACTACTACTCAGCAGTACCTACCAGTCTGTACGTTATCGTCCGTTATATCCCATTAGCGCATATTTACATTCGGTCACACCGGTCATAATATCGCCAACGACACCATAACATATTGGCGAAGGGAGAACTATGGATCCTACAAAATTGGAATTATTACTTGAGCAACAAATGCGATTAATGGTAATGCTCATCACCAAACAGACAGACTGGTTCACCTTCACCGTCAAGCACTCTGAATCAATGGCACCATGGCACCATCTGTCTCGACGGAATTGTGAATAGTAAGTATGTAACAACAGAAGACAAGGGCCAGGCAACAGATCGTTTATTACGAGAAATCAACACGTATTTATAGATTTTTATGTACATTATTGTAGGTCAATGTTAGTAGAAAATACAGTCTGTTGATTGGTTGTTTCTTAACCTTGCATCTCTTGTGGCTGTGTCAGTTCATCTATATGTTGACTGTATCCGCCTGTCCACCTTGACCTTTGACCTCAATTACTGTCAACCAATTTGGCCAGCAACCATCTCTCACCACAACATGACTAATATTTGATACAAAAACATTGACCTTAATTACTGTCCACCACTTGGCTAGTAGACAGCTCTCACCACACTCGTCCCCCCGTCAAATAGTTTGGACTGAAGTCGGCTCGGTCTTCTCGGTTCTTGGGGCTTTGCTCTGTTGTCTTGCTGTCTGGAATCTCGGAGCTTGCGGATGTTCACTTGTTTCTCTGTGTTTACCATTGCGATTGTGTCCGCGTAACCCCATCTCAACGTGACCATATATGGTCCTTCCCACTTTGGAAACTGTTTGCCTGACCCTGTCGCACATTCGTAGGTATTTCGCCTCACACTTCCATATGCTGCTTTCTCCCGACCTCCCAGCAGCGTCCCAAGTAGCAGCCTCATCGCTGACAGATCTTGAACGCCACTCAACTGCGAAGAAGCCTCGAAGTCCTGCGCGAAGATCCATATGTCTCCATCAAAAACTGCAGGGCATAGGCTTTCCATTTGTCGGTAGGCAGCGACACCAAATGTAACAACAGAAGACAAGGGCCAGGCAACAGATCGTTTATTACGAGAAATCAACACGTATTTATAGATTTTATGTACATTATTGTAGGTTAATGTTAGTAGAAAATACAGTCTGTTGATTGGTTGTTTCTTAACCTTGCATCTCTTGTGGCTGTGTCAGTTCATCTATATGTTGACTGTATCCGCCTGTCCACCTTGACCTTTGACCTCAATTACTGTCAACCAATTTGGCCAGCAACCATCTCTCACCACAACATGACTAATATTTGATACATAAACATTGACCTTAATTACTGTCCACCACTTGGCTAGTAGACAGCTCTCACCACAAGTATTACGCAGTTCAATTATGATCCAGATGCAAATGTCACTTTCGACACATGGTATCAGCGCTATGAAGATTTATTTAGAGTTGACCTCGCCTCGCAGGACGATGCTTGGAAGGTACGATTGTTACTACGTAAATTAGGTCCTGCAGAATATGAAAGGTGCTGTAACCTAATTTTACCTGAAAAACGACGTGACAAGTTTTACGGTGATACAATAAAGCTGGTGAGTGGACATTCTGGAGAGCACTGCTCACTATTCAGCATACAATCGATATTGAGAGAAAATGATGATTTTCTCACTCATGTTGGTACAGTCAACAGAGAATGCGAGAGATTTCGACTCAGGTCCCTAACAGATGGTAAGTTCAAAGGCTTGATTCTCATGTGCAGTCTTCAGTCTCCCCGCTTCTTCACAGATATCCGAACACGACTGCTCAGTCAGTTTAGAGGAAAATCCCAAGTGAACTCTACACAATATAGCTGATGAATATCAACGGCTGATTAATTTGCACAACAACAACACAGTACATAACTCTGAATAACTAGTTTAGAAAGGAAAAAACAAAATATATTTTAAAAAAAATAGAGGAATTATAATGCGCATCCCCATTCGCTTACTTCAATATCACCAGTTTCATTCTCTTGTAGGACTAATCGTTTCACACTGAGAATATTATTAAAATTATTTGGATCTTGTTCAGCCCATTTGAATAATAAACCCAATGGGGATTCATCATCAAATAATTTTCGTACAGAAACTAAATAGTCGGGGGGAGGGAGGGGGTAGTGGTAAAATTGAAAAAAAGAAAGGGATTGAAAAGTATTTCCAATTCAATTTTCATTATTAACAGCAACAACAAAAATGTTAATATGAAAAGATACCTCGATACTACTTATATTAAACAAACAATAAGTAGTATAGGGATGTTTGTACGTCAATGAACATAATAGGGGAATATTTCAATATTTTATTTTATTTTTAATTTTGACCATAGTTTGATTCCAAACCGTATTTTTGGTACTGGTATGAAGAACCCAAAAGACCTGGATTTTGCGAATGATTTACGTTTGACGTCACACAAAATCGAAGACTTACAAGCGAAAACCGACAAACTGATGGAAGAAGTAGCAAAGACAGGAATCCAGGTGAACATAGACAAGACGGAGGTTATGGAAATAACCAACCAACCAACAACAACAACAACAGCAGCAACATCCAGCGCCAATCACCATCAACAGGAGGGATTTGAAAGAGGTTACTTCATTCACTTATCTAGGGAGCATTGTCTTAACTACAGGAGGAACGGATGGACGAGGATGTCAAATCGAGAATCCGGAAGGCGAGAAACACATTCATCAACCTGAAACCAATCTGGAAATCTTCGTCACTCAGCATCAACAACAAAATTCGGATTTTCAACACCTATGTCAAGTCAGTCAGTCAGACACTTCTTCTATTTGCGTTATGGGCATGGCAGGCGTACCACAGGAAGGATTTACAACAGTCCTTTGCAGACTTTTATCAACAGCTGCCTCCTTCTCTGGTTCCATACTAAAGATCAAATGGCCAGAAAGAATTAGCACGACGAAACTCTGGCTGAGAACAAACCAACCAAGAGCCGATTGTTTAACAAATTTGTAGGATAAAATGAAGACGGATCGGGCGCACGCTACTGAGGAGGCCATCGAATGACATCCCGTGCAATGTATGCCATCGCTCAAGTGGAAGGTGGGAACAATAATCATAATAACATAATTGGCTATTATCAAAACACAACAGGCCAGACCAAACTAACTATAATTTTCAGGTGTATGAGGGATTGACTACAGACCCTCCCCGCATCCCACTGACTTAAAACACCAGCGGCGATTATTCCAGAAACCAAACACTATAAAAGACTATCCATAGATGCGATAATACTTTTCAACAATGTCAGGAATAAATTGATACGGTCAACAGAATAGCAATGTTTGCGAGGAGATTATACAGTATTTCAAAATATATATATACGACTTTTTCTTAAACGGCAAACCCTGAAAACATTATTGCTTTATAAAAAAAAAAACTATTTTTAATCTCAATAAAAGAAATCCAGATGGTAAGAAAAGGCAATTAACTGAAACCTGTGATAGAAACTAAATTCAAAAACAAAAAAACAAAAAATGACCACGAAATCTCGTTATTACCAACTAATTATTCAGGGAGAGTCATTCAATAAATATGTTTATGTGCTACATCGCTCGTCGCCACCTGCCTCTCCTAAGGTATTTTCTTCCTAATTTACGAAGAACAGGAAAAGTAATAGGCTGAAAGGTTTTTCGAAGTCAGAAAGTGGAAACAATGCCTATTTGATGATATTCTCGACTGGTTAAAACAGAAAAAAGCATTACTTCCAAATACTATAAATATTGTGAATTAGTTGTGTTCTCTGAGGAGCTGGTTAATTTAACTGCGAAGCTTTCTTCGTTCCCTTTCTAGACAAAATCTTCCTTCAGTGCAGGTTTTAGTATAAAATGGATTCATCTGAATTCTCCATGAATGATGATATAATTGTGTCTCCCGACAGACAACCATTGTCGCAACTGCCTGCTAATTTACATCTCTGTTGAACATTTCTACTAACTTGGAATTTAAACTTTCTTGTCATGTGATGATTTACGTTTTATTAGTTGGTGGTAAATTTGGTCTATAGTAATTGCTGTGTTTGTGAATCGCTGGCTGATTGATTCACTTGACTACCAGGCTTGAAGAAATTCCCTGACGGCATTTTTCGGTGTTACATCTGTTCAAAATTTCTACATTCTCCCAATCATCAAATTCGTGTTCATAACTATTTACATGGATTGATACGAAAGAATACATATATCATGTCTTTTTACAGCTAATTTGTGTTCTTGGATTCAGATTCGAAGGGGGTTACACAATTACCCCCAAAAGAAACTGTGTTCAGACAATGTTTAAAAGAGTTCAAACACTCCAGTGTTTGTTGAAGAGAATGGAGGAAAAATACTTACTAAGCATCTTCAAAAAGAATTAATACCCACACACAATTTCATCAAAAAGTGTTTCAACTCCTGTCATAACCCCAACAACAAGAAACAATCACTAAACACCACAAGCAAATTCACTCTAGAATACATAGGGAATATCTCTGAAATAATGGCTAGAATACTAAGACCGTTTGAAATAAATATAGCGTACAAACCAGTCAGCCTGCACAATCACTTCATTCAGTGTTGTGCAAACCAAAATATCCAACAGGAAAAGAAGATAAAATTAATACCATTTACAAAATAAATTGCATCTATGAACTGTAATAAACATTACATCGGTCAACAAAGTGGGCATCCCCTTCGAATCAGAATCCAAGAACATATATCAAAGTGGGCATCCAAATCAATAAAAATGACCAGCAGAGATGCAAATTATCGAAAAATCACGACAATGGTTGCCAGGAGACACAATTACATCGTCATTCATGGAGAATCCAAATGAGTCTATTTCATACCAAAGCCTGTGCTGAAGATGTTATTGTCTAGAAGGGGGACGATGAAAGCTTCACAATTAAATTAACCAGCTCCTCAGAGAAACACAATTAATTCAAAATCATCCACCTGAGCTACAAATCTTCCCAATTATTTCAATATGTATGTGCGTCGGTGGCACAGTGGTTAGGACTCTCGCCGACCATGCACATGGTCCGGGGTTCGATCCCCTGCCGGCGCACACCCGATATCTATGGTCGGCCTGCAAAATTTGGGCTACCGATATCCATGCTGAAAATTCCACACTTGTACTGAAAATACGGTGTGGAATCAAGCTGTAAATCAAAATAAAATAAATAAAAAATATATTCTGACAGAAGACACTACCTTTTCAGTCGAAAATCCAAGGTGGGTGAAATAAAATTCCGATATTCCTAGGAATATTAACTGAGGAGAATCAATATTTTAGAGTAGAATAACTAGTAACATCATTCAGAAATTTGAAAAAACAAAATAATATCGAGTGACACACACCTGATAGATGTAAAATTCATTCATCCCCATCGTTGTAAACATGAAACATTTACAGATTAACAATAAATAAGTAAAGGATACATATACTGGTTGGAGGATTTCATCATTAGCCGACATCAGTTAGAGGACTATTAGGAGTACTGGATAGCTGTTTCGTCCCCATTTGGGACTCTTCATCAGCACGCACCCAGCACAGTCGGTTCGAACCTAGGACCTTCTGGTTGCAAGGCGAGTGAGCTAGTAGACCATTCAGCCACTGGGACCCAACCGATCTAATGGCCAGCCCATGAATTGCAATTTCTGCCAATTCATGACATAGCCCGAGCACTTCGCAATGTCTTCTTCGATGAGTTACTGCCCCATCTACATGTTATATATTTAGATATATTTGAATAAATCTAAGAAACACTTCAACATTTATAAAAGCTATTCACGTTTTTTTATAAGAAAAAAAACTGTTTAATTGTGTAAAACAAGAAACCGAAAAGAAATGGGGAGAATGATTGACATACGCAATATATACACAGAATATTTTGCTACCCGTTGTTTTGTTTAAATCAATCACTCGATCATGTGGGTAGCCTGTTACAAATTCCCTACTGTTTATCACAGTACATATGCTACACTACACTAACACTGCACTACACTAAACTGTACACTACATTTTATCAAGTATTTAGGAGTGTAAAAAAAGCAGGAATAATAGCAGTGATTGCTATAATACACAACCATTGTTTTGTCAAGAAGCTCAGCAGTTAAACAATTGTTGTTACAAATAAAGAAGGTGTCGTCTATATATACATCGCTTATACATATACGCAAACTTCGAGATTGTTTCTTTCAATAGACCCCACTCTAAGCTTGCCATGAAGACATCTGCTAGAGGAGAGATCCGATCAATGGTGACTTCATCGCCTTGATTAGAAATGGTATTGTTACATGTAAACTGTACATTAAGCGTGCATCTCGACATGCTGAACTCCCCTTATGATGATTCTACAGTCAAATGGCTCATTGAAATCCTATAATCTCATTAGATAATTTGCTCTTTATTTACACATGTACCGTTAGTTGAAACTATTTGTTATCTATGTGATTACATCGATCTAAAATGCATAAACATTGAGTGACATTACGCAATGTATAAAAGTAATATTAACTGATGATCACACGTTTCGAGCACGAATTATTACTGCTCATAATCATATCAAGTCACTCACTCACACAACTTCCTTCCTTGAGTGGAATTGATGATTAGACATTTGAATAAAATAACATTAAGTACATTTGGAAATGTGCGTCGGTGGCATAGCGGTTAGGACGCTCGCCGACCATGCACATGGTCCGGGGTTCGATCCCCGGCCGACGCACTCCTTTACCTCGCTAAGCCAGAAATAAAGCTGGTGAAGAGGAAAGGTTGAGCATGAGGCTAGCAACTCCATCCTGTAAAGTAAACACTGCTACAGAAACTTCAAGCCACTAGCTTGAAGCCCTATGTTCCACTGGGGAACGTGAAGTAAAAAAAACATTTGGAAATAATAATATTAGTGTTATCAATAAAATAAAATCAGATAGGAAATAAGACGAGTGTTTTTATAGTCTAAATAAATAAGTAACTTGTTAGAATGTCATGATGTGAACTGAATTGAATACATTTTAACATTATTTATTATCTTCCTCTGATTTGACTGACTGGTGGTAATAATATCTTCCATATCTCTAGTATTTGCTGGGTGTG